CGCTGGGGAATGGAGACTGGGCTCCCAATTCCCTGCAGGACCGGTGGAGAGACCTCGGTCCCATCTCCATCGGCCACCTGGGGTTCTTCCCAGTAAAACTGTACCATCTCGTCCCCTCTGAATGGGTCTGGCTCTGGGTCTGTCATGCTGCTCTCCTGCTGTGCCTTCTCACTGTATTGGAACAGCTGCTGGTAGCCCTGTTCTAGCTCCATCTCCCGGGTCACCAGGTGGACCAGGTCTTGCTCAATTTTGTGAGTGTCGTCCCAGTCATACCTGCTCTCCCTCCACTCCAAGAGATCACTGAACCAGGCTTGTGTAGGGCTCCCAAATTCGAGCTCTGAAAACGACTCCCATAACAAGCCAGGACCATCAAACTCCTCTCCCTCTGGCTTGTCATGCTCGGCTGTCCAGGGCAGGTACTGTGCCCCATACCACCAGAGCGCCTGGTAGGCATCTTCTAGCCACAACTCCTGGTGTTCCAATTTCCTCACCCATTCATCCAGGGGCTGCTCTCCCAGAAAGGGCATCCGCAGGGCTACTCGCTTCTGCAGTCGCTGGTCTTCCTTGGGGAGTCTCTTGCCCCGCTGGTACTCCACAATACCCAGTGCCTGGTACCAGATGCCTTTACGGACTGCATCTCGGTCATCCATGGCACCCTCGTCATACTCCACTGCTGATTCCATCTCGGTGCTGTCAGGGTCGCTGCACTGGGACATGCGTTGCCCTCAAATTGTAAAAATCCACGGAATGGTGTCGCCTGTAGCTGTCCTGTAGTCTGTGGGAACGATCCCGCCGCTTGCCACCAATTGTAACGGACCGTTTTGCACAAAAGGGAAAAAAACTGCTTAGACGATAATCCCCTTTCAGAGACAGGCACAGCTACTGTAGAATCACCAAAACTCACGAACTGAATACAAGTGAATGCTCCAAACTCCCGAACGGCATACAAGGGAATAAGGTAGCACTCCAAATACACGAACAGGAACCATACGAATTGCTGCTACCAGACGAACAGGAAAAGCTCCCAAGCGGCTTACACTCCTGGCAATCAGTCCTTAGCAGCATACAGTAAATCCCCCAAAGACGAGACAAAGCTCCGTGTTGAGGGTCAAGCAGTGGTCTGCTTAATGAGGGCTACCTGCCCAGTATTTATGCAGGTCTCCCACCTGGTGGACACTCCCCTAGGGGACCAAATGGGAGACTGTGACAAGGGACAGACAAGCAGACAAATAGGACACACAGTCACAGTATTTCCCACAATGCATCCTGGCTTCCTCCCCTCTGACTTTGGAGACAATTGGGAAGTAACTCAATTATCTCCCAAGACAAAGGCAAAACTCCATTACACATGTGGGGACACAAAACCAGTATTATACTTTAAAATACATAAAGTAACATTTACTACATAAAACACAGACATGTAACATATCCCCAGATAGCTCAGGTCTGAGTGCACATTATTAGGTGAATGGCACTCAGACCGCATGAATACAGTTTAATCGCCATGGAGCTAAAGTCTTTACACAGTCAGTTTCATACGAATGGGCTCCATGGGATTCCTATCTGGGGTATAATACATTCGAACAAAAATACCGAACACCGGGCCAAGAAGGGAGGTCGGCGGCTCCAGCGGTGTTCGCGCAAAACTGTGTCCGATTTTAGTTCCATGAAAATAGAGGCGAACACCGCTGTGCATTCGTATGTTTTAAAATGGCCGCGACCTCGTGTTCGGGATACGAATGGCGGCCACCCAGCATTCATCAATTAAGCTGCGGTTAACCACAGCTTCAGGGAGGTTAATTGCCGGCACACTCCAGCTCCCAGGTGGTCTATTCATTCGTGCGGTTGTTCGGTAGATTGAAACTACCGAACAACCGTCAGAAAAGCACGAATACAGCTTTTCTGCAGGCAAAATAAAGTCTTTTAAAAGGGGGCCATGGTCCAAAGGCAGCAGGCGAGCAACCAGGCTTCTCCAATGCAATGTGGCGAGATTGGTCTCGTCACAGTACTATTGATTTAAATGCTGTGGATACTCCAAACTGTTAAATCAACTAAACAATACTTACTGCATTTTGTTGGAGAATATTTTCATTGAAACAGTAATTACAATTACAGGCAAGATTATACTTATCCACCTAAGCTTGAGAGCGTTAACTTATCCTGCAAGATGCTTACCCTCCCGATAGCTGACTCTGACATTCAGCTGTAGCAACTCTATTCAGGGTTTAGGTATTTGTTCTGCATGTTCTTACTAACAGATAAATAGATCACAATCTGCAGGGTTTAAAGAACAAAACTCTGGGGATTTGTAATAATCTCAAGAACTCACTTTGACACTTTATTGCTACCATATATCTTTCAACAGTGTAGCAACTATGGTCTGTCAGTTTGTGCATTAACCACGCTCAGCTTTTAACACTATCATCACCATTTACTGTTTCAGTGACATATTGCTCTAACCATAGGAGATTTAAAAGCTTGTTTATAGGCTACTCAGCATAGAAATCCTTTCCTACCTTCAAGAGTTTAGCCAAAGGTACATTGATTTGGTCACTAAAGTAACTATAACTTTTAGCAAAGAAAGCTTAGGTTGTGAATTAAACACTTGGTACACTGCTGTACAGCAAAAATATTCTCCAACAAAATTCAGCAAGTATTGTTTAGTTGATTTAACAGTTTGGAGCATCCACAGCATTTAAATCATACAGTTA